GTTACCAGTTCGTCCATTACTGTGCTAGAACTGTGACAAAATATTGAATATTTGATATCGACACTAGACAGCCGTATTAGAAACAGCCCATAATGATGTTTTAGTATCGTAGCTCATTGTCGATGAACATGTCGCATCCAAAGAGAATTTCTGGATTAAATTCTCATCGTACATGGAATGTGTCTTCGGATGTTATCAGAGGTTCCGATGCTGTGTCTTTATGACAATTTACCCTTGGGATGTTTTGAGACATCCGTTTATCTAAAAATCAATTTGATGTCAGATGAAAGACTACGTATATTTACATATATATATATATTTAAAACTCTACATCACTACTAGTTTACTGTGTGTATATATGTCTGTCACCTGTTAGTGTTTCGAGTTGTTGTCAGATTTGACAACTCTGTTGATTTAATTATCATTTTCGGTCTTGAATTTCTACACGTTTTCTGTTTTTTGTTGTTTTTGTGCTGTTGAACAACAACTTTGTTTCCATATGAAAAATAACCACAAAACACTCAATTTATATTTCATCAATGGATCTCAAACCCTGTGTGCTAGTAATGGAAATCAGACGAAAATCAGATTTGACATAAATTCTCACAGTGTTGGCCTCGCGCTAGTAATGATTTAGCTTTTCCACAAGAAGCATAATGGTCGATACGTGTTCATTCTGTGACGGCAAAATATTCATGGCACATGTTATAAAGGTTCTCTGGGGATTTCTGTGCCTTGGTCAGATATTCTAGTTCATTCATTTGCCTTCTATTCGCTGTTTCCGCCTCAGGGGATTCTGTCGTCTAATTGGTTCATATAGTCGTAGAGAAAATTCCACTAGAAGTTTGCCACCGACCCTCACTCTGCCAGGATCATGACTCATCATTATGCCGACCGCCATATTATCATCAGAATCTTTCTCTAACACGCTTGCATTGTCTATCGAAATCTCTAAACATTGCATTGATCCTTTCGCTGTTCTTTCCTATATTTTCGTGCGTGGTATTTGTATGAAAAGCACGGGAATTAGCAGCGATTTGTGTATGAAAATCGTGTTAAATTTTCATTATGGAATGAATATATGAGAAGTGTTAGGGAAATGTTGCTATATTTTCATCGGATGTATTTGTGTATTGAATAACAAGGATGGATAAAATGATATATGTGTGATCACATGATTAATTTGGAATCCGATCGACGTATGCATACATTTAATCTAAAATAAGTTTTGTAATTTAGTAATGATTTATTTGTTTAAGTTGAAAATATTCGTATGAATGTTACGAAAATAATTTATAGATATGTGCAGTCGAACCTCGTTATCTCGAATTCATGTAACTCGAAGTTATCCCACAGTCCCGTCGACTTTGAGATAAGGTTACTAGTAAATATGGACGTCCATTATAATGTAATATGTTGCGTCAACATTTATCATGTTGTACAGTATGTATTGAAACAAGGCTGATGAATTACAAAATGATTTATTTCTTGTCGCATATGTTAAAACAGCACACAATCGATATAACATTTACCTGTCATCATAATTCATTGTTCCCGAATGATCTGTCCAATATCCCAGCGCGTGCACCAGTATTGTGTGGGTTACAGTATCAATAACTGATTCTTGAGTAGGACAAATAAACCCGACACAACCATTGATATATAAAACATTGCATTGATAGATCTGTTGATGGACTCAGTGATTTTATCGTGAATTCTCGCTTTTGTTGTGTTAATTGACCAAGTTGTAACATCAAGCCAGAATTTATTCCATTGTTCATAAACCAGCTGATTGGTTGATATCGATTGTTCAGGAGCATTTCCTTTATCTACAAGCCTGGTTCAGTGAATAATTCTGTTTTCAATAGCACATTTAATCATTTGTTCTTTTTTGAATCCCATGTTCTTCTGTTGATAATTACCTAAAATCCATTCTCAACTTAATGACGTGTTCAGCAAAATCTATAGTTAAATTTCATGTTTTCTTTATCGCCTGTTAATGATATCGTTAGTCACATTTTCATATTTGATACCTGAAATCTTAAACCTTTAGTCTTTAGAATTCCAGTGGAATAGCATTAGATACGCGTGTGTGCCCGTATCTTAACTGAATCTCTCAAAGAAGGACGGTGAAACAAAATTCTGTATTTATCAAGAAATATAAAAAATTATGTCTTATAAACATTTTTTTTTTCAAATGGAAACATTTCGTCAATTATGGAATTATGGCCTCGTGTTTATAAATCAAATCACTTTTCCAACAATAGAGCTGTATGTCGTTTCAATATCTGCTTGTAATTGACACATTTGAGGATTTCAGGATAAGACGATGTGCTTAATGTCTATACTGATATGATATATACTGAGTATTATTTCTTAGAATCAGCAACTTGTAAATAATGCAAATATATTTTCCAGAATAACTTGGTTTGCTAGCGGATTCCATCGATAATCTATGAAAATGCTCCCAAATACTAAAATTACTGTATGGCTATCAAATAATGCGCAGGGCAGTGTCAAAAATCCATAATCCAATTGGCAAGCTACAAATAATTTAAAACACAGTGCTTTGATGGATAATGCCTTGTATTTGGATAAGGGAGGTACAACTATGCACCAGAGGCGAGATATTTTGAAGTCTCATCTTCTACCAAACCATTAACACATACACAGACTGAGAGGTGTGCAATCCGTACCCAAATATATCATTATTTGTCTATTTTAAACAGTCGATAAAAGTCCAAACACAAGGAAAATTACTTGTTTTCCCCTATCTATAACACCGATAAAATTTCAGACGTATTGATAATTTTGGGCCTGAATAAATGCGTCAACCTCGACAATTAGATGTCTGTAGTAACGTATAGAACACCATTTTCCTGATGCATTTCAATACACAATATCAATTATCATTTTGTAGATTTAGGATATAATCGGCTTTTGTAATGCCTATCGATTTCATGGGTGTTTGTTCAGGTTTTTGTTTTCAATATACTATTGTTTAGGGACATGACTTTCATGATTAGTTTAGAATCTGACATTTCAGTTTTTTCCCCGAGCAGTCATTTTCCCAGATGAATGTACTTTCTAACGAATAGCTAGCCCAGCATATGATTCATGTAATGAAATTTTACCTCTAATCGATTAGCAATTCTCTGCTTACTGCTTTGTTTTCCAAGGTTCGACTTTCGATTTTGAAAAACCCTGTTCCGTGAATATGTATTACTCCATAAATCTGTTTATAGTTATTTTAACAGTTCGTGTACATTAAATTTGTGGAGTTAGAGGACCACAAAGTTCATTGTAAAACCCCAAACAGAATATCAACATGTTAACAGAACCATAATCTTATTTCAATATAACTAGGGCAGAATGTGAAAAAATACACCGGGCTTCCTGAACAATACATGGCAAATAAGATCAGGTGTTCCGGAGAAGTAAACGCCTTCTGCTACACAAATCGTCTCCCAGTTTTTATTACATTAATCGGGACTTATTGTATTTGGATAAAGGGATGATGATATTGATACCAATTTTTTAAACATATTTTTTAATCCTTACATTACCTATACAATTGATGATATGTGCATATGTGGATGATACTGAAATTTATCGATTGATCAGAAGAATTCTGTAATTGAAGTAAAAACAAAAACAGTAGATAAACAATAACAGAAAGACACAAACATACAAAACGATAATTCCTCTTGTCACGTGACCAATACAAATAAGCACACCACATTTTTCATTTGACATCAATACACTGACAATTTAATCTCAATGTCCATCAATATGTCTGTGCAATACACATAGCAATTTACATCAATCCAGTTTCGTTCCGATCGATAAAACTCAATCCGACTTTTTTATATCCCGGAATTAATTTCACGTGCAGGTACACGTGTAAGCCCATAATGAAGTGGCATTTCTTTAAACTGATTCCACTGAAATTTGAGACTGCAATGAAATGAGATCACAGCGGACCAAACTCGATATTACGTTGTAGAATCGCACCGTGACATGCTAGACCATTAGACTTGTATTGTTAATTTCACCAAGACTTCATCACGCGCCATATCCAATAAGTATATTACGTTATCAAACTGGTGGTAGTGTTTTTGTTCCTGTTAATTTGTTCTTCGGGCTAATTCTCAAAGGCCTTCGTAAATTCATGATATTAAAATGTTTTTTTTTTGGAATATCCTACCTATATGTACTACCTTTATATGTAACGATATCTTAGCTTTAAGATTTCCTTTATCAAAGAAATGTTTCAGGGTAATGCTATTCGTATATATAACATTTCGTTTAAATTTTCATTCTATCATCAATCATAACAAAATGGTTTTAAAGGCAGGATATTTTGTTTTTGTTATACCTAGTATAATACTAAAAGAATTATGACGTTACATTAAACTTCCAACTGCTGTTGTTAAAACGCATTGGGGAGACGCCACCTATATTGAAATATTTATAAAAATGACTTAATTTGTGAAAAGCAATATGTTTAAAAGACAATCTCTGTGAAAAAGCCATTTCTAATATGTGTTATTGATACACAAAAGGCTCCTTGGTGACCTAGTTTCATATAAGAGATATTTTATTTCTTTTAATCTCTAAAACTATAAAGGTAAACAATTTAACATCCTGGTCTAAAAATAACGAAGGTTCTGCTGAATATCCAATCAGAAAACGACATGAATTCTTCCCGTTTTATATATGTTTGTCTATTGGTTCCTTGTTGTATGCCTTGGTAATGTGACATAACTTATTGGATTGACCTAGGTTTACATGTCGGGTGTGTTCGATGAAGCAGAAGACACTTACTATTCTGGAACACCCGATCGTATTCTCTGGTACTTTTACACATATCTTGCCTTAGTTTTCTTGTTCACATATTTGAATTTTCTTGTTGTTTTATATAAATAACTTGGTGTAATAAATAGTAAATTTTTACAGCACTAAACAATAAAGAATCGTTCTATTTTCATGTTTTACAGAAGACAGAAAATTGTTTGTTGGTATGTTGAACAAACAACAATCAGAAGACGAAGTACGACAACTTTTCCAGCCCTTCGGTTCTATTGAGGAGTGCACCATACTTCGGGATCAAAACGGAAACAGTAAAGGTAAATTACCTCACTTCCGCCTTGTTTAGAACGTGCAGTAATGTTATTCTTACGATGATATAATGATTTGAATTTTCAATTAGTGGTAAGTTTGCTCAACGGCTTTCTTTGAAATTGTAATTATAATTCATTCAGATAATAGTGAACTTAGAACCGTTGAAAATTTCAAACTTTAACAGTACATATTTATATGAACAATGAGCAAAAATGCTTCTGATCTGGATAATTTCAGTGAAGGATTAGGAGTTAAGTGATAATATGATGTATGTCTACCAGTCCCTACCTTTGACTTAAGATTAAACAATAATGTTTGCTCTGAATTTTACTTCACTGTTATATTAAATGTGTTCCACAGGCTGTGCTTTTGTGAAATACACGTCACATGCTGAGGCCCAATCAGCGATAAACGCCCTTCACGGTAGTCAGACGATGCCTGTACGTATAAGAATCAAGAGAAACATTGATTACAGTCGTCTTTTTGTGAAGGAAAAACTATATCCGATCATAATTGATAAACAAGTTTCAGTGGAATGAAATTAAATTAAAATTATATCTATATATGGTATTAAATTAAACTATTTACATTTCTTTTTATTTGGTATGTTTCTTTGTCAAATATCTATCCAATTCAATGAAATTGAAAAGATGTACTCGTAAAGGGAATCACTGATAACATACAAAGCGTGATATGGTTCTTTTTCCACAGGGTGCCTCTTCCAGCCTTGTTGTCAAGTTTGCCGATACAGAGAAGGAACGACAACTGCGGAGGATGCAGCAGATGGCTGGACCCCTAGGTCTCCTTAATCCCTTCGCTCTCTCACAGATCGGTGCTTATGGTGCTATAGCGCAGGTCAGTATACGATAAAAACAGAGAATCTCGAACAATTTTCATTGCGTAGTATTATTAATGACTTCCTAAATATAGATGGATATCGGACGGTACGTTGCTATAACTAGAAGTCATGCTTGATTACGTTTCCTTTTGTACTACCTGCTAATAATTAAAACTTCTAGCATGAGTTACAATAGAGAACACTGTCGCAGTACATTTTGTCTCGAAATAAGATTTGGACAATGACGTCACAATCATTTGTAACATTGTGTAATACAACGCGGATGAACTTCAATTTGACTTTGTAAGGAACTGTTTTGAGTACCGTTCTTCGTAATGATAGGACTAGGGTGGAATGTAAGATGTGTTCTTGAAGAAATCTTCTTGAAATATTTCTTTTCGTTTACTCAAGAGACGTATGGTGATTGTCATATATTTAACAAGTATAGATGACGTATTGAATACAGTAGCGATGACGTCATTCAGGTACATTTATAGTTTTTAAGGACTGAATCATGGCATAATAGTACATTGTTGATAATAATTGTACGCGTATCACGCCTAATGAATGTATTAGTTTCTTGAATTTTTTATTGATTCAAGCGACGTATGGTAACTGATTTATTTCATATCCTAGCAACAAGCAGCAATAGTAGCAGCCGCTGCGTCTCAGGGTCCATACCTGACCAGCCCAGTGACAACGCTAGCTCACATCCCCCAGGTCGGAGGACTAACGGCCCCTAACGGAATCTCCACTGCAGCCCTTACACCTACCACAGCGTCCCTCGTAGCCAGTGGTGAGTTGAGAGATGGTGTACCACCCAAATGTTCAACCCCGATAGAAGAAATTGATAAACAAAGATTATTGTTCAATATTTTTGTATATAGTATAAGCGATTGAACAGAAATATCTATAATTCTGTACTGCTTCTGGGTGAATTCGCTAGAAATTACATCATTTATATACATAGAAGAAATAATTTCGGTGGCATCATTATATTAATTCATCAAACCAAATCTGTGTCTGTGAGAAATATACAAACATATAATAACAAAAGTGAGAATATTTTCAAATTTAGATACAAAAGGAATTTCAATTACTGTATAAATAATTAATTTTCGTGCTGGATCTATTTTCTGATATACGAAGTAAGAATTTTGACTTTTTTCCCCATCACTTTGGAGTTTTTCATTCGCTTCCGTGGTTTCAAAGTTGTAGCTCTCAGCATCCCTGGCGAGTCCTTGAAGGACCAAAGAGCTGTATGATACAGTTCACTTTAGTCTTTGGCTCAACTTTATCAAACGCTAAATTTGTATTGAAATAAGCTTATCACTTGTGTGTCTTTTGTACAATCAGTGACACGCTTAATCTGCGCATTCATATGTCAGCAAACTTTATAAGATCGAATGAGGTCTGTTTATCAAGTGTCCACTCATAGTAACTCAAAGTAAAAGACGCGAAAATTGAAACCCACGAAAATAGATTATTTTTACAGTATTTAGTTTTGATTTCTCCTTAAACGTTGAAAATGTAATAGAATAAGTCATATTGTATTCCGATACATGAATATTGCATTAATAAAAAAAAAAAAACAAAAACAAAACAGAATTTCATCACGCCCATGAGTAATACATCCCGATTGTATACATTTTTTTTTATTAAAACCGCTAAAATTTGAGTCACCAAAAATACTTACCTAGTGTCAAAACAAGACTGCCTTCCCAATTATTATATTTTTAACCCTTTACTAACCTTAGCAATGGGTTTTATACTGATATGTAGACTTTGAATTTTGCCCGCGGTCAGGTACCCCGACCCTGAATGGAGGTCCTCCCAGCGTTTTATCACCCACTGCCGTAGCAAGTTTCCAGATGTCACAATCCAACGGACAAACACAAGAAATATACGCTAACGGAATTCCACATTACGCAGGTAAGTTAAAGCATTGGCACTAACTACATAGTTCTTAGTTCTTCGTGTGTTTTTTGTCACTATCTAACTAGACATTTGTATTGGAAAATCTTTTCTAATTTTTCTACAATCTCTCTCAATCGTCGTTCGCTTGATTTTACATGAATATCGCAATTTGTAAATCAAATCAATTATTTTAAAAGATATGTTTTATTTGTAAAGATGTGAACTCGATTCTCATAAAGTCGTCTTGCCTTTTTGATATATATTTATATATATATATATATTGTTTTCGGAGTGTTGTTTGCAATTTTAATGTCATGGATGTGTGTACTTACAGTGTCTGGATATACTTAAATAAGTAAACCATAAATAGTTAGAATTCACGATTATCATCAAAAGTATCTTCAATAACATACATTAAGAAAGTGTCTGTCTATGCTTTAGTCATACCTTCTTTGATTATTACGAATACTTTCCATTTTAGAATTAAAACCAGTGTCGTTTCTAATACGTTTTTCATTTCAATCTGACATGTATAGTGATATCTATCAGATATATAAAGATGTCCACACATACTTATTTCTACTAAACGGGATGCAATATTTTGTCAATAGTCCTCCACCTCTGGGTCACGGGCTCGAGACCCACGTGGAGCAGTCGTCAGGCACTGATAGCTGGTCAATGCTTTTTCCTTGAGAACTCTGGCTTTCCCTCCACCATCCAAATCTTTCTGAAATAACCCTGACTCTAAATATAACATAAAGCAACAATAAAGCTAAATCTGTTTCGATACGAAACATTCGACACACTGTGTTTAAGGGATAAAGCCAAGTCAGTTGTAGGAAACTGTGTGTCAAATTATCTTGATCAACTACCAATGGAATATGTTTGAATGATTTTGAGGCAAAATGAAATAAATTAGGTCTCTCCTAATGCGCGATTGTCCCAGGTCATGGCCAATTGGCGTCCCTCTGTTAGTATCAGTCACAGAAAGAACCGTATTTAGAATAATGCATAAACTAGAATCAACTATGAATGTAAATGGATAACTGTAACAAAATTGTAAAATCAGTAGTAGAAATAAACACGTAAACTTGTTTTGTGATAACCCCCCCCCCCCAAAGACCCACCCCAAATAATAAAAACACATTCGGCAGTTAGTATTTGTCAGAAACCTTAAAGTGTGTTGTTTCTGCGTGCTTGTATCGTGTCCGTGTGTTTGTATGTTTGTATTTGTTGTTTACTGCAGAAACATATATGAGACATCTTTGGTATAACATCATTTTTTTTTATTTGTCATAAACATTGAGATTGTAATGCCTTTGAATTTTTTTGTTTATCTGTTAGAGATATTTTTTGTCAAACGAATGTATTAATACAGGAGATATTGATTTTCGAGGTATTTACGTCTCGTTATATAAAAACCTGTTCACAGGTGACCTGATTATATTTATGTTTTCCTTACAGATAATGGTACTTCTGCGTACATCTTACCAGGTATATTCCTAGTTTCTGACTAATTCACTCCATGCGAAGGACAGTTTTATTATTAATACACAAGTTACTTCCCTTTATATTTGGATTATACAATGAAAATATTTATATTAGTATATATGAAAACGAAAAAAATGTTTGAAATAAAGACATGAAAATTTAAAGTCTGTAATAAATAATAATAGAAAAATTATTGTCAAAAAGTAATGCAAGATTATTTTAGAATATTTTTATTGTATTACATTTTAACAATGTTTAGACGCATGCCTATATATATGGTTATGTATATATATTGATGCAAAAGGGACTTAGCTCGTTCATTTATAAGATAAGCTGCTTTTCGCAAGAGAAGAATTGATCTCACATAGACTTTTCTCAGATGAGTTAAGGATATGCGACCTTTTTGTAAGAATCGTCGATACCTTTTAACACCCCGCTCATGTTTTTCTTTTGAATTTTTAGAATAATTTTAAGATATTTTGGGAAAGGTTTTGAAAAACTAATCGTCATAAAATATGTAAATAATTGTATTTTGGTGATTGCTCTTGAATGACCTAGTTCATTGCAATTAGTGGCAAGAAAGTAATTAACGTTAACACTTTGGAATACTTGTGAATGGATAGAACAGTAGCATATTGTGCTGCTTAGTTGTAATGGCCTGGTATTTTCAGTATATTGTTTTATGAAATTGAAATTTCTTAAAAGAAGATGACGAGTATTATCCTTCCTTTCTTTGAATATTCACAGTCAATTATCGATCTCTTTATATTGAAACACCATGTATAAGATTATCGATATCAGTTGTGTGTTTCTGTTCGAAAAAGACCTAAAGATAGGACATTGATGCATCATCTGACTGCCGTGTTGAACATAAAGACGAAAATCTGTTGTCAACTTTTATTTACAAAGACGAAACTCCGTTGTCAACTTTTACCTACAAGGACGAAACTCCGTTGTCATTTTTTATCAATAAAGACGCAAATCTGTTTTATTTACATAAATAATGTACTGCATTGATGATAATTTCGATAAACAGTCACTCCCGTAAATTGTTAGGTACCAAAGAATGTCTCAGTTTTGCTTGGTTTTATATTGTAATATATTATTAACTTTCTGCACTCTGAGATCTTGAGCACTTGTCGTTCATATTCTGTTCTTTATAACGAATTAATTTCTAAGAACAGACAAACATTCACTGTCACTAGACTGAACATTTTTAGTAGTATTTCACAATAACCTGTATGGCCATTGATAAAGGTAAAACAAGTACTTGAATCTAGAATGGCAGCATATGTTATAGAAAACTAACTATGCATGTTTGTATTATCTAATTAAATGTGGCATCTACCATTTCCGTCTTTTCGTAACGCAGAGTTACCTGCTTTTTTGAACAGATATTGATAGTCACGTGATTAGTTTGTTTAAAAAAGTCATTATTTCTACAAATGTATGACGTTATTCTTTCACAAACAAATGACGTAGCAATAGATACCTACACATAAGAGCAGATAACTGTGTATTACTAGCAGACGGAACTATGTCAGGTACACGTCACTAAGACTAAACATTTACAAAATCATAAAACAAAGTTTTCTCCCCTTGACGTAACTCTCCTAAAATCACTTATTAATCGCATTATACTAATGAAATATCTTAACTTCAGTCTTGGTAAATAAGGGGGTTCTGCTGTCGTAGTTACTAACAGATAAAGACAATAACGGAATGATCTTTCTTTCGTTTATTTTCTACTAACGACTAATCGGGTTGTGACAGTTTTTCTCCCTTTTCTCTTCATTTTTTAGCACGTAACACTTTTCTGCCCTTTGCAGCGCAAGCAATGGCCAATGGCGATCCCCTCCAAGCCTATGCGAGTGTCCAGCCGTACGCAGGAATCGGTAAGAAACAGTTAGTCAGGCTTAATTAGGGATTCTTTAAATAGTTTTGTGTTGAATTGTATTGTTTGTTCGGGTTATCCGATATGATTTTAGACTGAATAAGAATGCAGAGTTCCTTATATTGCCATTGAATCAAGGATTTTTTAATACATGTTTACGGTAAAGAATCCCGACACATTTATTTACTCACTCTGATAAAATTGTTATTCTTTCCCAGTGTCAAGATCACTTTCAAAAGAATAACACTTATCAATGGCGTATTTAAAATTATTTCGAATTATTAATAGATCGAAAAGAGCGGAAAAGGGTGAAAATGGCGAAAGTTGAACTGTGACGACAGTGTCTCGTTATACTGTATTTATTGGTGGTTGTCTGCACGATTTCTGAAGATATGTTAACTTCATGTCATTCAGCAACATAATTAAAAGTTCTTTGTAAAACCATGGAGATATAGATGATTTACATGTGTATCGATTTACAGCTTATCCAGCCGCATATCCCACAATGCAACAGGCTTTGGCACAGCATGCTACCCTTATTCCAGCTGCACAAAAAGAAGGTATGTCTATTTTACCACATCGGTTCCTTATCGACGTAAGGGACAACTTGCTATGAATTTGTAATGAATTAGATTAGAAGAAGGAATGATCACAGTGTTGAAGGTCCGACTTGTTGAAAACCCTTAATATCAAGAATTACTATTTCAATATCGATATATTTTATTTGTTTGATTGATTTATCATTAATTTAAATTCTGATAAGATATTGGGATGATAGTTATGTAGGCATTGCGATTTTCACTGCAGAGGTCGAACGTCCGTAGTATGTTTTCATGATGTTTACTGTCTCGTTCTGACGATGAATTCATCCTAGATGTTAACCATACAGCCTGAAAGGTTATAAGACTCTGAAACAAAAGTTGTAAGATTCGACGTCAGATTTTGATACATTCGGTTCTATTTTATAGTCTTTCGTTGACGATGGTGTTGCTAAAGTAAAACCTTTAACCGTTCGTATTTGTTGTTATAAAGACTATATAAATTCTGAAACAAGAAGGATAATAATGAACATATCAGTATCTATCCATTAGGTGTAATTATGACATTTATCTTTTACAGGGGCTTTCATAGGAGGCCAGGGTATGTATTTTGCATAGGAATGAAAGTAGACAATTACTGGAAAGTTGTTAAATGAAAATACCCAATGCAATAATTGAAAATATATAATAGAAAAAATACAAGTTAAAAAAATAGAAATTGAATTAAGAAAATAACAATTAAAAGTCATGACGATTTTAGAAATTATTTTGGCTTGGCTTTGATGTGTAAAAATTGCTTCGTTCATATTTTGATTTTTATGAATATTACTTGACAAATACTACTGACGTTCGCCCTATTCAAATGAGGTAGACATAAAGATCTATGTTTACGACAAGGACATAGAAACTTTACAATATTTATTTACTTTAAGCCATTGGTAAGCCTGACAAAAATATTTACAACCAAACGAAATATGACGAGCATGATATTTTTAGAATCACGACTAGAGGCGTTTATAACCAGCATTATTCAGTGCTTAAAATAAACAGAACATAATGAACAAGTTTTTTGTTGTTGGTTTGTATTATGAATTAATTATTTGCAACAAAAAGGATCTAAATATTTGAAATTATCCGTCTTCATTTTTTTAGGACCAGAAGGATGTAATTTATTCATTTATCACCTACCCCAAGAGTTCGGTGATGCCGAATTGGCCCAAATGTTTATGCCTTTCGGTAACGTCATCAGTGCTAAAGTCTATGTTGATCGGGCCACCAATCAGAGCAAATGCTTTGGTAGGTATCGCATCATTTATGGTCTTATGAATGCCAACGGGTACATCATAACGAACACAAATCCTTTGTCTTAGTCTACTTGGCGTTCAAAAGCCTATGAATCCAAACTGAAAGCAATTCAATGTGTGTATGTTATCGGTCCTTTTATTTTCTGTAATTCATTGAAATTCTAATTGTCTGCACAACCGACGGCAAATAAGATAGGAAATACAGCAATCACTTTATAATGGATATACTGTCAATGCCAGTAGTTTATATCATTCATATTCAGAATTATCCCCTTACATTGTTTACTGTTGTGAATATGAAGAGATAAAAAATCAATACAAATTCTCCACGGCACGATGAATTCCAAATCAACACAAATTCTCCACGGCATGATGAATTCCAAATCAATACAAATTCTGTTTTCATGCTATGACAATTATACTTTTTTTTACCAATGGAAACAGAGTACATAGATTATCTTATAAAAAATTAACAATATTTTATCAAGTTGTATGGTCGGTGCCTAACATCCGACCATCCGTAGAAGAATAAGTATATTTTATGTTATTATTTTGTTTTAGGTTTTGTGAGTTTTGACAACCCAACAAGTGCACAGGCCGCCATCCAGGCCATGAATGGTTTCCAGATAGGGATGAAGCGACTAAAAGTTCAACTCAAGCGCCCTAAAGACGCCAACAGACCATATTAGGATCGTATAGGAAGGGAGATTATCTGGTAAGTTTCTATTTTATGCAGAGTTACTTCCTCTACAGAATGCGGCATATATGATTAAGACCGAATTGGTTTTTCTTAGTGTCTGTTATTGAAATACCATATAGCTGATAAATTCATGAGTCATTTTGACCTTTGACACGATTGAATTATATTTTAGTAAATTGAAATATCGCGATCCGGATGAAGAAGGACATCTTATACACTCGTGTCTCATGATTGCATTATTTTCGCGATCACGTTACTATACCGGGAAACATCGAAAATATGATCACCGCGAAAATTACTGGCCATATGGTATACCAATAAGCTCAGTATTTGGAAAAAACAGTGTAAGTGAATAGTGCTCTAACGAGTAAAAATATCGTCGTGTTGAATTGTTACCTTTGTAGTAGGTTTCAAACTTGTATTGATTATAAGGAAAAACGCACATATATTATTATGTATTATTAAAGGGCGTTATCGAATGTCACTGGGATTTAAAATATTCGTGATTCTAAACCTCAGATAGACATTCAAAATGCCCTTTATCCTTTAGGTGTTTTTGAATTGATTTAAAGTCAGGTCCTAGCAATAGATGTATAACTATTTTCTTTCAGCGATGTATTCTGTATGTAATCACACCGACGACATGGAACATTGATCAAATATAACATAAACATCATTTATTTTATATTGCTACAATTGCATTTGTGTTATAAAAACGTATTTGTCTACAATCCGTGAAGAATATTTATTTCAAGGAGATCATATTACCTAGTTGTCTTACTATATACTGTATAAGGAGAAACATGTTGTTTTTTTTTTATCTTTATTCTGGTTTCATATGGGCTCTCAAGTGTTACATTAAAGAAGAAAGTATTTCGTTTTGATGAGGGAATTAAAATTCGGCAATATAATCATTTAAATGTAGCATCACCTGTGTCGTTGAAACGTGGTACGATGTGACTAAATATTATATAGATTCTTAATCTATCATTTTGAGAAAGGCAAATCAGTTTGGCAAAACCTTTCTCCTAAAAATAGTTTTTACGAACCTTTCTAAGGGATAAAACAATTCCTTGACGGTCGTTTCCCCGTATACAGTATAAGAGAGCTTATAGATTGCTAAGATCTACTATGATCCCAATGATATAAAACAATGTCCCATACACATTTTCTGTACCAATTTCTGTAGCATCCTGCTGTCTCTCTCATTCTCCTAAGAGAACTGAGCCCTGATTGGTTGTATGATATAACCAACTCAACGTGTCGGAGTAAGTGATTGGCTGGTTGGGTTAAAGGTGTTCAGTTGTCATGGCGATATTTTGTAAACAATGTGTAGATTTCTTTCAGTGTAGTAACAATATAATTGGTGCCAGCGTGTTGCTTTCTGGTTGGTTAAAGACATCATGTGATTGTGCTCTCTATTACGTATATCTTAGTGTATTCATTACAATTACGTGTTCACTTTAGCTACCACAGTTGAATTTCTGATTTGATTGTAATCCATTTTTATTTCGTTGTACTGTGTGCTACGATATTTTTTTTTATTCTTTTGATACTTTAAATTTCTTGTGTAAAATTGTGATACCATCGAAAAAAGAATTCAAAACCACCACAATCTTTTTTATCACTCTGTGTGAATGTTGTCCGAGATTTTTATCATATGATACTGAATATACTTGTGCAATATCAATAGAATAAATGACTGATTCTTACTGGAATCATTGATTTGAAAATGTTTTTATTTTTGTCAATTAAAAGTTAATATCATTTATTAAACGAATAGTGAATTGAAGTTTAAACGTGAATATAGAAACAATAAATCTATCTCACCTTAAAAATAATTGAAAAATCAAAAGAATCACGTAGCATACGGTATCTTAATTACCACGAAATCAACAAGTACCTGTTGGTTTAGGTGACATTATATAACGTGGTGTCTACATTTCCGCAAACTGGACGTACTAAACGCCGTCATGGAATAAAATTAACACGAAATGACATCAACACAAATTTAATGGTTTTTTTTGAGCAAATGGACGAGAAAATAAAATTTATATTAGTTGCAATTTTCACAATGAAATTCGTTAGTTTTCTATTTTGATATCTTTAGCAAATCATTTGAAATTAAGCCTTTTTTACAAAAAATATCAGACTTCAATCATCGTGCTGTTTATCATAAATCAAATATGGTCTTGATACTAAGTGATTTCGACGTTTACAAACCTTTCTGAAGTCACTGTTTAGTATGTGATGAGATTTTGCGGAAGTGTAGGTATTGATTCTGTGATGGTTGTAATTTTCTCCTAATACTTGTGTGAACAGTAAATATGAGAGTGTTGTGGGAACGCCGTTATATTCGTCATCATTATATTATTGGTAATTAAACAGTTTTAACCTTCACTCTCTGCTTAACACACTTTTGGCTTGTTGCTGGAATCACCCTGATCATTCATTAATTAGCCCTTTCTGCCCTTTCAGCGATAGTTTGCCCTGTCTCGATTACAATTACACTATCCCTTACCTCTTAATGGGGCTAAGTAATATTTCCTAGTGCCACCAAATTTGCAGCTATTGAATAATTCCGAGTAACCTCCATTCGGAAGCTAGGTGATAGTTTCGTACTACTTTCGATTGAAAGCTAAGTGGTAGTTTCGCACTCCCTCAGATTTAGAGAAAAGGAAGTGTTCTGCATTATCTCCAACTGGAAACTTACTGGTAGTTTTTCTCTGACTCTAATTTAGAAAAATGGATTTTATAATACTGACTCCAATTGAAAGCTAAGTGATAGTTCGCACTGCCCCCGATAGGTTAGCACTTGTGCCAGTTGAGACCAAAGTGATTGTTTCGTGCTATCACCAGTTGGAGGCTAGATGATAATTTATTTCCATCTCGAAGTAGGAGTCGACCGTTAGTTTTGTCCTACGTACATTTGATAGTTTATGATAGATTCGAATACGAATTGAAAAACTTAGGATGGTTTTATATCGCTTTTTCTTCAACAGTATTTTGTATTTGGATGATGCACCAATTAAATGTATCAGGTATCGGTAGTCCAAGTATGAGATTCTATTTCTCATATATTTAAGAGATAGCGCTTCTTGAGGGAAAAGCGTGGTTAGAAAAATACCAAAAACGAAGAAATTTACACATTGGGAAATGAAATTACAACTGATTGTGATTGGGTTTGTTATGTATTTGTTTACATGGGTAACTGCCAAGTATAAACTACACAGGAAGATTGTAGATTGTCTTGTAAGTTTACTCATCCGAATAAATCTGAGACACATTCAATCGTATTTAGTTGGACCTATCTTGATTATATGCATTGGTAAATATATAGATAGTTCCAGGTTACCACCCCAATCACAACCATTGTTTTTGAAGTTTTTGGGGTATGAAAGGGTTAAATTGTTGTGCCGAAATTTGTGATAGTTTACATATTGTATCGGTAATAAGTCTTTGCATGTATCTTTTTAACCCTTTTCTTCAGTCTGTTCATTATTAGACTATAGAAAAATACGATATTGTACTGGTGTTTTTTTCTATGATAGCTATTTCAATTATGAAATATCAAAATAAAACGAAAATGATTGTTAGTTATGTTTTCAATTTATTTTCACTTTATCAAAATTAAACGAAGAGAGTATTTTAAGTTTTCTGATCATATATGTAATAGATGTTGTTCAAAAGTATGAAACGTGTTTTGGTAAGAAAGGACATCTGGGCCCTACTATGAAATATGTATATGTTTGTATATGTCAAATTGTTTGCCGTACAAAAAAAATCGACGGGATATATGATAATCCCAATACCAGGAATAAATACAGAGCTAATAAAGCGATCGAGATGAAAGTAAACATACAAAATAAATTATCAATATACATATCACACGATTCCATATTGATATCAAATGACTACAGGATTTATCACCAGAGGTCTTTGTTTTTTTATCAATTGCGAAGTTGTCTGGTACATTTTAACTTTGTTTTAAACTCAAACATAATTAACAGTATGGATCAATTTACCTTATTGATAATGAAAAAATCGTCAAAAGGAAAACAAATCATACCAATCCTATAATAAAAAAAAAAGAAAAAACTCAAATTTTCACTTTTGACTGTAAAAAGGTTTATCATATTACAGTTTCCGTTGTACAATTGATGATAGGTCTGTAACCATTGCCTTGTAAAAGCTTTTTAAACGTTATAAATAAAACAAACTTATGATTTTGATTCCGTTTCAGGTGTGGTTAGAAAGAATCACAAGGAGGCAACTTCATGACAGAAGAGATTATCCCTGACGTCACTTGGGATCAATTTATTGCTTACACTGGAACTTAGAGAAGGCTTGAATGCTGATCAGTGTTGAGGAGATAGTTGTGTACATACATATATATTATATTATAACAATTTGGTATGATTATTTTAATTGAATAATGTTATTGAAATTAATTACTGAATGTTGAAAAGCCCACCTTCGGTCAATGAAAATGATGATATTGAAATTGTATGTGTCCAAAGGTAAATAGCGGAAGCCTTTTTTGATTCTTATATATTGAAAACGTACGTGATCAACAAACATGACCCAATGCACTACTTTTCCCATTATCATTGGTGATCGCAGTATATTATACTCGGCATCCTGATTCTATCACGCATGCGCAGTCGTTTGTTTCATTTTTGATACTATCATCGATAGTTGGGACTGATTTAAGCATCTTGATAACTAGTGATATGATTTAAACATTCTAGTAAAAAGTAGATTTGTGCAAAAACACAGTATATACAGTTGATAAGAAAGGGTTTGTTTATTTACCTTTGTGACCGCTGATATTGTTGTACATAGATTCTCAATTGACATATTAGGATGCTAGGATGATCCACCTCGCTTTTAATGCATAATTTATGAGATAGTTTAGTTCATCGGATCTTTATGATCATTAAGAGAAGAAATTATTACCTGCGATGAAAATAAATATAACATGTTATCATATTTATATATTTTACATTCTTATGAGTTTCTTTGCTACTCAGATCTTTGCCCCCTTTGAAATTTTGATGGATTCAGTTTTTCAAAACATTCCATTTTAAATTTTAATCTGTGACACAGTGTTATAAGATAAACGTTTAGTAGTAATTGTAAAAGGAAGTGTCCGTGAGTTTAATGTTTCTTCAAAAGTTTCCAAAATGAGAGACGTTTTCCTATTGGATGTTGTGCGTTGAGTAACTATGGAAGCATTCAGTGTTGTCAAGGTGACCATGACAGTAGGATGTTAAACTCTTGTGATTGGTCACCATTCATTTTGACAAGTCTGGCGTTACACTTTTGTCTGATCTTTTTTGGACCACAACACATAGATATGTATATATGGTACAAGACGTCATCACTTTCTGAATGGGCGGTGATCAGTAACGGATGTGACATCACAAACGGGTTTCATTCTAACCTGAGTCCTACGTGACGTCACGGTCAGGTTCTATTTGACCTATGTGACCTCACGAAAAATGAATGTTGTATTTCACTTAAATGTGACGTGTCAGATATATATTAATGGCTTTTCTCATTTTAATTTAAACGAAAGGGGACAAAGAATCTGATGACTAATGAAAAAAATTATTTTTTGTACATAGTGGATACAATCTTGCATTCCGTGATGACTTTCTATAAAACAATTATTTTGCATCAAGTTTAAAATATATTCACGTTTCATATGAGATAAGCCTTCCTGTTTGAAATATCTGCATTGTATACTAGTTTATATCAGTAGATACTTTTCTTAGCTTTTCTTAGTAACATATTTGCTGATATATCCTCTCTTCACAGTCTCATGTTTTTATCCGGATTAAAAGTATTTCATAACATTAAAACAGTGACATGCTTGATTAGGCACAACATTTTTTTTTATTCTGTGCTCTCATTTACAAGAATCTTTTGTTTACTGACGTAAATTCTTATGAATACAAATAACGATTTTAAGATGAAAAATTGAAAATTGTATGAGGGTATACAATAATAGAACAACCTCGTTATAACGTCATGTAGTTTTAAAGTGCGAACTTATATAATTAAATACATTGCAATGCAAAAAATATAAAAATTCATTTGTACTCAAATGGATATCTTTGGAATTTAGCGAGGTTTCAATGAACCAATGATCATGATATCACAATTTTACTATATATGGCCATTGTGTCAGGAGGAGATAATCGATTATTTCAAAATTGATATTTAATTGTTAACAGAAAAATAACCATACATTCGACCGCTTACTTCATATATTATACAAAAAAAAAATAAAGTCGAGATATCCGAGGGACAGACAAATGATGTATTTAATTGTTTCTATTGTTGGTGAGACTGGATTACCTCTGGAAGGACTTATTTTCTTTCTATCTTTTTTGTCCAATGGACTCAATGCATGGCAATTACTTAATGAACATTCAATATCGTTTTACAAGTTATACCAAACTATCCACTCATTCAGCAGTTTGTCTGAAGCATTTCAAATTGCATCTATTTCAAAACATTCACTAATTACGTGTACTGCAACACTAAAATACAGTCAACCCCCGTTATCTCGAAAACGTGCAATTCGAAGACTCCGTTTGATTCGAAGCATTTCGTCGGTCCCTGCTTAACTTTACACCAAACATTCGATCTCACTCAAATCGAATAATCGGTTATCTCGATTTTCCCCATGGTCCCTACTAGTTCGAGATAACGAGGTAGACTGTACACACATGTGTTATGTTGTACATTTCCTACATATACCGGACGGAGCTTTGTTGTTTTCATATGTGATTGTTTTCAAATAACGTATCTGATGCCTTGCTGGGCTTTTGTTACACTGAAGTGAATGTTCAATGAGTAAATATCACACTATGAATGCCAAGGGATAAGTTTGACAGAAAGAAATGGTTATCTAGTAAATTTGTACCGTTTCGTTTTCCGTACAAAACTGTTATATAAACTATTATTATTTATTTGTGAGCTGTTCTCTGTTATTGTTTGGCCGAGCACATCATTGTTATGTTGGACACTAAATTTGTTAACAAACTTTTTATCAGGAATTCGTTATTTTACAGTTTTTTCTTTAATTAATTGATTAATCAATTAAATTAATTTTAAAGTTAGAGTGGTGTGTATGCGAAAACGATACCTGTATATATTTTATCTCATTAAGTAGAATTGTATTTATTAATTAATGTCAGGAAATATTTAATATGTTATATTATGAACAAACAGTTGCTTGTAGATATTATTTTTCATAATCTCATTTCCAAATTAAGATGTTTTACGCTATTTTTTTCCACAAACGGGATTAAAATCATAGGAGATCTCGCCCGATGTTGTTGAGGTTAAAAATGATCTAATGTCTTATTGCTTTGTGCAGTAAATGATTTGGAGATAAAATATTCAGTTCAATATAAATTAATCTGATATTGAGAGCAAGTATGCACTTAAAACAACACTTTAAACAATGTCTCATTATGTTATATAAAACTTAACTTTCGCACTTTTTGAAAAATAACGAAGCATTTCTGGAATTAAATGGATTTTTACGTTAACGATAAAACTTTTATATATATCAAAAGTGCTTTTTCCATTCATAATGTTATATGCCCAGATTATCCTGGTGAAGTTTACCGTTATCATTAACGTTACACATCATGATGCAGTTTAAGTGAGTTAAAAATATTTACGAATGTGAACAGATTCCTTAAATTTTAAGCCTTCTTTTTTCATGATGTTTCAAGAGAAATTCAACAAAGAAAGTACAGTTGATTACATTTCCGTGTGTCCATTTTGTACACTGTTTTGTTTGTCAGTTTTTTTTAAAGAAATTGTATATTTGTCACATGTGCACCTCGTGCGAATTCAAAGAAAATCAGACTACTATTTTTGCTTCATACTACAAATGGTGCCTTTGACAATCATGAACGATATTGGAATACATTTTTAATTGGGTAGAAAAAATCTTGATTGTAAACTTGTGTACATGTTTTTTCTCTTTAAATTTAAGTAAATTTTGTCTTTGTCAGCTACGGTATTGTACGACTGTGTATCGACTTTTTTCTGAAATTAATTTCCAAATTTGTCGTTTTTTTTAAAAAAAAGAAATTACAATTTACAACAGAACCGTTTAAATGACTAAAGATAGAGTAACTAGGAATGGCGAAAAAAGTATTTTGTCAATTCCAACACCATCCGCATCACTTGAGTAAGATTACTATTCTAAATGATCACGAGTTCGAGCCAATGCTTGCATCTTTCGAGAAGAGACCTACTGTATGTATAGGTAATGTTAAGAGCATCTTTTTAAAAGATAAAACACATTTTTTGTTGCTTTCAACAATGTATATCGAATTTCCAAATTATGTTATCTAACAGAGTAAATTCGATTTGTATTTGGTACTTAGAACTGTTAAACAATAATATCAAATCCAAGTTACTCTGATTTTGTGGAATTTGGTATATCAGGAGTAAAGTTTTAATATTATATCCTATTTTCATTTCCCGTATTAGACAATGGTAATGAAATTTCATGTCGAGAGTTACTATAGAAAAAAACTGTTTGTAATTACACTCATTTCAATTGTCCTCGATTTAAAAATTTGATCTAGTTAAACTCATTCTGTCTCTGACTATTATGAAGGTCGTATTCTTGGGACAAATTGTCGATGTTTGAATCGCAAGGCGATCTCTTTGGACTTGTGTTGTAGTGAAAATGTGGGTTATGTAAGATGGATGCCGGTAGAAAAAGATACGAATTTGTTTAACATTCTGTAGATATTCTTGTTGTTCTGAAATCCAAAAAAAAAAAAACGTTTTAAATGTTTTATTTATTGAAAAGGACAGGCATTTCTTTTGTTTTTAATTTATTGAATTTGTTGTCAGAAATGGTTATGTGCAATATGTATCTCGAATTTGTTGAATCTTCTAGTCAATATTTATTTTAACAACAAGTTGGTGCAATATGTTTTATAAACTTACATTGCAGTGGAGGACGTATAATCTCAACGATATAAATTGATGGCCTAGATTTAGACCACCTACAAGCCGGATTTGTTACATGTCATTGTATTGGCTGTTTTTGTTGGTATACAATCTTTTACCATATGTTAAATAGGAAAATATTAACATTGTTGATTTAGTGACGTCACGATCGCCTATTGAATGACGGTTACTGATTGTAATTTGAATGAAAATTTCAGATCACGTGTTTGATTTCAATTACTGGTCTCGTTTTGAATGTCAGCGATCATGTATTGAGTATCAATTTCAGGCCACGTAATGGATGTCTGTTGATTATGGCATATTATTGCGATGATGCAGTGCCATGTGATGAACACGTTCTTGTACTTAATTTCAATGGTAGAATAGGTGTCTTTAGATTAGTAAATAACTGTATATTCGTAGTTTAGTTCATTCACTATAGAAAAACAAAGTCGCTTATGTAATTCACAAGCTCAAATATATATCCTAGCGCATCTTCTGGTATCCCCATTTCGCTCATTGCGTATATGTGGATCCTGTTGAAGTCATATGTAAATGTCTATTTCATCTCTTGCCTTGCTAATCCGATGCTATTTCTATGACACGTGATTAAATTATACAAAGTCATTTCAACTCTTGCATTAAATGGTTCTGAAAATTGAACCTACATACTCTGATGATGTATTATAACCACAGGATCATTCTTAGTATGAGTTGTCCATTTTTTACTGTTAAACTATTTGATGATAACTCATATTTGTACAAGTAAGGACAACGTACGCAAAACGCTGAAATGTCATTCAGATTTGTATGTTTTCTTTCTATAACTACTTCCAAAAACAAATTTTTTATCGAAAACATTTATTATTGTAGTAACAATTGAATCCATTGTTTTTTGTCAAATTTTCGTCCTTTCTTTTCCTTTCGAATACTATATATGTACTATCATTAACACCTTATACAATCAATATATTTGAATGCAAGCGTTTTTTGCAAACATGTCGTTTTGAAAGGCAGACATTTTTAATATGATTCATTTATTTTCACATCCGATTTCAATAGGATTCTACGGCTGGAGTAATGTTTCTGGAAATTGGTAGGTCACGTGATATGTATATAGCGATGGTTAATTAATATTCATAATGTGAATTAATATTAATGTCTGGTTGGCCCTGTATTTTTCTCTTCAGAAAATGTTTAGATTTGGTGGTGAATTTTTTTGATAAAATAAACAAAGACAGACTTTATATATTTTTATATGAAACACTATATATTTTAAAATAATTTCGGTGTCTCTATTAGGTGTGAACTGTAGATCTTTCATTACTAAAAACATAAACAAATTATGTTGATATATTTTTCATTTTTTAAAAATCATTTCTCTTGTGACTTTCAATTAGGGAGCGAAAAATTTTCTAATGTAATTCTGAATTTCAATCAGATAAAATTAACTCAATTGAATCTCACAAGGGAGATAACTTGATAGTTACGGATGTGGTCTGTATCGGTATTGTGTGACGTGTTGTCGAAACAACGTATTTAGAATCGTAACATCTGTCTTTTACTCACTATCGTTGCATAAAGTTAATTCAAAATATTAATTTATATCAGCCTCTGAAATTACATTTATTTTATAATTTATATTAAAAAATAGTGATGAATGAATTTACAAATATATCTTCTATGAAAAAACGCCGACGAAAAATAACGATAGCCTATCGATTACTACAACATTATTTCAAAATATGATAAAAATTTACACACAATTGTGAAGGGTAGAGTATGATTTTATATTGTCATCAATCTCGAATTCGATTTAAAGAATGTGTCTGATGGACAAACTACTTGCACTTTTCACAGATGGTAATGGTATTGTGAATTGTTGTTGCTAAAAGTCTAGTTGTTTCTACTTTCTAACAGTAAATATTTATATAATAGTAGAAGTGTGGTGTATTTTCCATCTAATTTTTAAGACTTTGGCTTCCATTTTCTATTGGAAATTGCAAAGAATTCTTAAAAATCTTTGTGGTTTTCTGAACGTCATCTGCACATGTTAGATACGTGTTCTTGCATATACCCTGACCATGAGCGAATTTAGTACGACTTGATAATTGAAATGATATTTCTCGAGTAGAGAAAAAAAGAAAATTCTCATTAGTTGATTGGGTATGTGAAAGTACCATGTTCTTGATGTGACAGGTTTTTCGACATTCTAATCCAGCTTTCCATAGACATTAATCCAGCCGTTTGTCCTTGACATTTGTACCTCATATTTTCATTATTTTGTCGGGACCAGCTGTGACAACAGTATAGTGTTGTTAATACAACTGGTCAAATTATAGGATGTATTTTTCATTATCAGTCTCTCAAGAGAGACGTTTAAATTATTTTTTTGCACTCATATAGTTGATTCTCTCATCATGACGCCTGTACAAAAATCATTACAATAAAAATAGATAAATAAATTTGTTTGTTGTTGCTTTCATTTTAAATAGTATTGATACTGTTTTGTCAATTATTCGTTATAGTATAGCTATTTTCAGATATTTTCTTGACTTGACACTCATCGGCAATGGACAGTGAATGGTTGCCAATTTCCGGTGGGTAGACATTAAAGGAAATTGTGCAAAGTTAAGCGTTGAACAGACAGCGACAATGGACCGTGGATAATTAACAATTTCCACTGAGTAGATATTTCAGAAAGGCCCACAAATTTAACCGATCTTCTGTTTTGTAAGCACGGGAACAAGCAATATTAAACGTTACATTTTCAGGATCTTGATATCAAGTCTTGGCGTAAATATCTGATAAGTCATTTCTGCAACAGGACACAAAAAAGGACAGAAAAGAGAGACATGTGATAGAGATACCAACGCTTAAATAGGTTGTGTTTTATATCACACATATATCGGAACATTTAGTGGAAGACGTTTTTGATTGACTTTGTTTTCATTTATTGATCAATATATATGAAGGTCTTACCCTGGGACGTTAACTTCCGCCAGTAGGAAGTAGACTTAAGACTTTAAAATTTTTGTAAAAAATATCTTTATTCACTATATATTCTTCATTCGCAATATATTGACAAAAATATCAAATTTAAATATCATGACTACTGAGCGAGATGCGTTGTAGTGTTTATCTCCATCTGTTGATGCTGTGTTAAAACCCTTGATCTTTTGTTAACAATTATGATTCTATATATAGAGACATCAAATCAGTGGCAAAAAGGTAGATACATTTGAAATAAAGCAAAGTTCGATGCTGTTCGATTACATTTCAAGCTTTCTCGTAATCCTCCTGGTTTTAAGACCATCAACACCATCTAAAAAGAAGGAAAGAGTGAAAGTTTATATCAATTCCACTCCATCAAATAATTCCAGTTGAAATATTACCCCAATCAGCTTTATTTTGCCTGAGAACTGTTAAATGTTCCATTCATTGTAGTGGTTTAATTATCAGTGAATAAGACTTATCCGAAAAAAGAATAAATGCATAGGTGGTAGATATCATTTGTGTATTTTTATTCAATAGATTATTTTACCCTAGTGTCTTATAATAACATTCGTCACTTCTTGTAAATTTTAGGGTTTCGTTGCCGTTATAATAACCTGAAAATCGATTAGCCTGATTATAACAAGATACAATCGAACCTCGTGATCTCGAAGTCAACAGGACCGTGGGGGAATACCTCGAGTTATCCATTATTCGATTGAAGTAAAGTTCGAATGCTTAGTGTAGAGAGTGGTGGGGACCAGGACCGGGTGTTCGAGATATAAGAATTCAAGATAACGAGGTTCAACTGTTTATTGTTCTGTTTTTCCCCTCCACGTTTTACGTCTGTAATGACTTAGTTCGATACGGGTTAGGAATATATAGGATTCAAAGAATTTTCATTTCATACAAAATTTTATTCGACTTGATACATTTCATTACTATAAACGTAATATCTATAAGGTTTAAAAGTCAAAATGTTGATGACAGAATCGAAGGTAGAAGCGATTTTGTTTTGAATTTTTCAACTCATAGCCAAAGGTTATTATTCACATTATGACATGACAATCAATTTCTGATTAGAACAGCCAGTGAAAACTGCTCAAGTGTATATCATATTAGTGACATACGATGAAATACTACATTGGTGATATCACTGGATAACAGATGGTTAATGGAACCAATATTTTAATAGAACTTACCTTTAAATCGTCTCACAGTCATGAATTCTACGACCATGTAAGTACATTTCTCCCGTGCACCCACCACATGGGTTTGTCCTGAAAGAAAGACTATTTGTTTGATTCCATTTTCAAATGACTCAATGCAATCGTAAATAAAGTAGCGACAGATAACTGTAAACCAGTTTACATTTATACAGGACATGATTGTATATACTTTATCGCAAAAGTTATTCGCCACAAATTCAGCATAATGTACATATCTTATATTATATTTAGCGAAGGTAAGTCACCGCGAGAACATTGTGAAAAAGATAACACGAAAGAAATTTGGTTTAAAGTATTGAAATTAATCTGTCGAAATCGGCAAATAAGATAAAAAAGAAGAGAAAAACCAAAACCAAAAGATACATTGGACGACTGATATATTCTACACTAATATATTCACACTAATATATTCTACACTAATACATTCTACACTGATATATTCTACACTAATATATTCTACACTAATATATTCTACACTAATACATTCTACACTAATATATTCTACACTAATATATTCTACACTAATACATTAATATATTCTACATTCTACACTAATACATTCTACACTAATACATTCTATACTAATACACACTAATACATTCTACACTAATACATTCTACACTAATACATTCTACACTAATATATTCGCTCTTAGAAACATTCACTCCTCATTGATATATTTACTCCTCAATAACATATTCGCTCCTTACCAAAATATTCGCTTCTCACCAACATATTTACTCCTCACACACATAGAAAGATGTTCTCTCCTTGCTAACATACTCGATCTTCACCAACATACTGTCTCCTCACTTATATATTCGCTTGTCACTATCATATTCGCTCCTCAGCAACATATACTATCTTTACCAACATATTATCTCCTTACTGCCATATTATTCGTTCCTTACCAACATTCTATCATCTGATTACGGCACCTTGGACACGGGTTGTACACACATCGTTCAGCCATGATTCCGAAGGGACATGCTGTTTGGAAAGCAACATATATATTCATAAAAACAACGGAAATAATGGAAATATATATCAATAAAGAGAGAGAGAGAGAGAGAGAGAGAGAGAGAGAGAGAGAGAGAGAGAGAGAGAGAGAGAGAGAGAGACAGAGAGAGAGAGAGAGACAGAGACAGAGACAGAGAGAGAGAGACAGAGAGAGACAGAGAGACAGAGAGAGAGACAGAGACAGAGACAGAGACAGACAGACAGACAGACAGACAGACAGAGAGGGAGTAAGACAAAGAGAGAAAGAGATAAGGAGTGACACAAAGAGAGAGAGAGAGAGTGAGAGAGAGAGAGAGAGAGAGAGAGAGAGAGAGAGAGAGAGAGAGAGAGAGAGAGAGAGAGAGACAGACAGACAGACAGAGACAGAGACAGAGAGGGAGAGAGAGAGAGAGAGAGAGAGAGATAGAGAGAGACAGACAGAGAGAAAGAGAAAAAGAGACAAACAGAGAGGGAGTGAGACAAAGAGAGACAGAGAGAGGGAGTGACACAAAGAGACAAAAAGAGAGACAGACAGACAGAGAGAGAGAGGCAGAGAAACAGAGACAGACAGAGAGGGAGAGAGACAGAGAGAGAGAACCACCAGACATAAATCACAAAACCCATGGAAAGCAAGTACTTAAATCTTCATTTTGTTCAAACAAAACCACGTGATAATTCGTTATCTTTATATGGTTTATAGAGGAATGATGAGAAGATGCAATCTATGATTCGTGTAAAACTATGAAACAGTGAAACATGTATCAATAACTTTACTGGTGAGAAATGTTATTTTCTTTGTTACAAACGGCATAACTAACAACTTGACGGTAGCTCATATATCTTTATATATAAAACACATCTGAAAATATTGATGGAGCACGGTGGTATTTCAAGATCAAAGGAGATATTCTTTACACTGTATCCGTTAATGTATTTGTTACTAACCACGATAACCGACGTTCACTGGATCTGGAAAAAATAAACAGATCAGCTGAGGCATGTTATCATATTGTAGTTCAACGACGTTTTATCCATATATCACTGGTATACATTATCCTTCATTATTTTGTCTTTTTACAGTGAAAGAGAAATATTCGAAACACTTTAGAATAATTAACGGAGCAGTAAGTATCACATCAGGAAGAGATAAGATAAAAAGATTAACAATCCCCCAAGTAAATGGGTATTTATATATTATAGGAACTATCCTATCGATGAATTAATAATTTTTGAGAGACAGTCAAGGCATCCCATTGGATAGTTAACGTCACGTGATGACATCTACATTTCTCAAATTTGCAGCGTGACTTTAAAGGCGGTAATATGACCGCCGACTTCGTAAAGATCTGAAATTTCTTCAAATTTTCGGACACCTTGATGATACGTCGTGACTTTGATCTATCGGTCAGACCCAATATATCTCCTAAGACGATCACTAACTAGTGATCACCCAATATATCTCCTAAGACGACCACTAACTAGTGATCACCCAATATATCTCCTAAGACGATCACTAACTAGTGATCACCCAATATATCTCCTAAGACGACCACTAACTAGTGATCACCCAATATATCTCCTAAGACGATCACTAACTAGTGATCACCCAATATATCGCCTAAGACGATCACTAACTAGTGATCACCCAATATATCTCCTAAGACGATCACTAACTAGTGATCACCCAATATATCGCCTAAGACGATCACTAACTAGTGATCACCCAATATATCTCCTAAGACGATCACTAACTAGTGATCACCCAATATATCTCCTAAGACGATCACTAACTAGTGATCACCAAATATATCGCCTAAGACGATCACTAACTAGTGATCACCCAATATATCTCCTAAGACGATCACTAACTAGTGATCACCCAATATATCGCCTAAGACGACCATTAACTAGTGATCACCCAATATATCTCCTAAGACGATCACTAACTAATGATTACCCAATATATCTCCTAAGACGATCACTAACTAGTGATCACCCAATAATGTTCATTCATACTCACTTGGGTTGACAACGAAATTGTCTGAAAATACAACAGGAAAATGTAATACGTGGTTTATAGAATAATCTGTCAACGACAAAAATCAATCAATCAATCAATCAATCAATAGATAAAGGGATAAATAAACAAATACAAGAATAATGGTGAATCACGCAATATCAAATATACAACTCTAACACTTTATACACATTTTATACTAAACACAACGCCAATGGAATAGAAACAAAATTATCCTGAATTCACTTTGAAATTATAATTTAACTGAATTCAGGATGAAAATGAAAACAAGGTCTACAACAACTGAACTAACAAACAGACAAACTAACGAGCATGAAACATTATATACTTCATACCTCCAGCAGCCTTAGCTTGTTGTTGATAAAGGGGATCTAAAAAAGGAAAGAACGCATCTTTGTGATAAAAAGACAAAAAGTGAAAACAATATCTACGATAGCGTTACCAGGTACGTATTGGTAGTAGCTGATAACAAAATGACAAAGGATGATATTTCGGACAACTACTTAAATACTTAAATGCAAGAGACAGTGAATAAAATATATATTGCTTGTTATTATCAGTATCTAGATTAAATACAATGTAACGCAGCTGATGATGTAACTATGTATTATGCATATGAAATTCAAAACATTAAATATTCTATTTAAATCATAGCAACATAGCAAAATCATATGATTTCAAGAATTTAATGCTTTAAAAAGATCAAGAAAATAAAACCATATTAGCATATTTATAATCCAAATTCAGATTCAACAAAACTAAGACGAAATGAAATACATTGGTATGAAATACCTGTCTATATTGATCTTCTCAACATATGGTGTTATTATATGGTATGAATATCTAAAACAAAAAATGTACCAAAACCTCATGCAATTATGATATTATGCCCTTGTACCAATGACAACACATACATAACTATATACAAACGAGCAACATTTTATCTTTTTGCTATTTCAATGTCATTGACGTGATTACAAATATTTAACCCGTGAATAATGACATACATGTATATCTAATGTCCTTTTAAATCCAGATCACCATGTTTTTAATTCGTTGAAAAATAGTTCTATTATTTTAACAGAAAATCGCAGAACATTTCGATCCATGAAACTAAATAGTTATGCGGTATGTAAATACAGATAGAAACCAAGGAGGCAAATAAAGCAGTATTCTGCATGATAAAGAAGAAGAAGAAGAAGAAGAAGAAGAAGAAGAAGAAGAAGAAGAAGAAGAATAAGAAGGAGAAGGAGAAGAAGAAGAAGAAGAAGAAGAAGAAGAAGAAGAAGAAGAAGAAGAAGAAGAAGAAGAAGAAGAAGAAGAAGAAGAAGAAGAAGAAGAAGAAGAAAAGTAGTAGAAGATGATGATTATGATGCCGCTATTTGACACTGTAGAATTAATAATTTCCAATATTTGATGGTAGATTTGTCATTTGTACTCTCTGAGCTGTGCTAGTATTCATAAGATCTAAATCATGGCATATAAAGTTACAACCCATACTGAAAAACACAGTGTCATTGATACGCAGCTGTGATTGATAGGTTGTCTAAATCTCATTGTAATGATATTTGTATTATACTATGCAAAACGACATCAACGTATGCAGGCAACGGAAAGCTAATAAACAGCGATAACGAGAATACTTGTTTACAAAGATTGTAAATTCTAACTGTGATATGATATATGTTGTATGTTAATATTAACTACAATATTTTCATTACAACATTGAATAAGTGTGTAATTATGGATATTGAAAGCATATGTTTTTTAGATAATTTAAAGAGGTTAGGTCATATAGGCAGTAATGTAGAATTAATGAATCAACTTAGATTATTGTCAAGTTCAAAACTGAAAAAAAAAATTAAGAACGTAACTTGGTAACGTATTTCAGAATAATAGTCGATGTCTTCTGGTGACTAGTAATACACTCGACTACAGGCCAAGGTGAAAATGTTACATTTAATCGTTAACCACTCTAGGAGTATGTAATTGTTTTATGTCATTTCCACGTTAAATTTTGTTAGTTTTTTTATTGGCATTTCAAGATTCAGTTTCATCGACACTTAAAACGGAAACCTATAACTAGATGGAAATATTGATTTGATTTTGAAAACCAAAATAATTTTTAAAGATCTCGTCAATTAAAATAGTGCAGTTTCATCACTTTAATTACAATACCATGCTTCAGGCAGAAAACGCCATTAGTTTTTCTACATATTTTATGCATCACAAGATAAACTGAACTCACAGTTTTTGATCTGAAGATCGTGAAGTGTTGTAACAAAAACAAATGTTCTCTGCCATGAAACTCAATCAAAGAAATACATGATTTTTAAAAGTTAATCACTCGACAGAGTATCTAGCTTAACCTGAAATTAATTGCAGCTTTTTAATGACCCACACTACGTCAGAGATTGGTTAATACATCTATAGAACACTGAATCATCTTAGATAACATACTCATCCACATAGACCTCAGTTTATCTGCCATGGCACGTCCTCAAAAATGTAAAAGTGTAAATTAAGTCTTGAGATGTATAACATAAAGATGTTGGCGTAATTGAACATCATATTTTGATTATAGAAGAGGAAACACAAAATGCATATTTCATGCATTAAATACATATATAATATATTGATGTCAAATATAATTTTACATATGTTTTATTTAAGTAATGTCTTAGGTAAAATGTAATGTCCATATCAATGCTTCAAGAACGAAAAAACAATACCAATATAATCTTATTTCAAACTCAAGTTTAACGCATTGGAGGGAAAAGATGAAAAAAATATCTTCACTCATAAACAAGTTCAAGGATAATAGGACTCAGAATTCCGTACGAAGAAACAGTCATCTGCTCGATGTACGACATCTGCCATGCAAATTGTGGTGCATACAAATGTTCGCCAAATGAGAGCAAGGTAAACAAGAATGAAACCACAGTCGTACTTACAAGCAGTAAACACGATCGTTTAATTCTTTGTCGAAAACAAGATCGAAGAATCCAACAGCAGTATATTTTAAATAGCTTGAAAAATCTTTTATCAAAATAACTTTAATCAAATTACGATGAAAAGAGTATCTATATTAAATATCAGTTAATGGGACAGTGGCAAGTCTGGTCGTGATATAAAAATTTAAACAAAAATGAAATGGCAATTCTTGATTTTCAGCCTCTCATTAAACGACAGATTTCATAATTTGTTTGCATTTTCAGCTCAGAACTAAATTCTTCTCAATATCATTTAAATTACACGGTTGTTTTCATTTCTCAAAGGTCAAAATATTCGATGATAGAAAATTTCGATTTTGAAACTTAATCCTGATAGATAATTCCTTACCTAGTCCTTGTAGGAGAGAAGGCGGTATTATACTTGACGTTTTGAGATTTGATTTTGGTGCAAAGGATTGACTTTGAGGTCTCGGTCTATTTCGCCTGGATTTTGATCTTCCTACAGGCCTTGGAGGCATTGTAGGTGGATAATTAGGAATGGGTGCCGTTGGTGCATTTCTTGAAGGTGACTTCCGACCTGCTGACGGATTTTTTCGCATAGGCGGAGATGGGTTAGTCTTTCGGACAGATTTCGGACTATTTGAATGTCCACTAGTTTTCTTTTTCCCACTGGTGCGTGTCCTGGTTGACGATTTTGGAGCTTGAGCCGGTGATGGTGGTCTGAATGATGTTGATGGTGATTGAAGACTATTTCTGGATCTTGCCATATTGTTAAACATTGATGGGAATCTGACAGGGGTCGGTTCTGTATTGCCCCAGTTCTGACCCCCAAAGTTAACTTGTGTTCCTAGGGTAGTTGGTGCCCATGTTGGTGTGGGCATTGTATCTGTTTTTGACAAAATGTTGTAATGATTAAGAATTGTAGCTCATCTTTATTGATATCCAACTGCTGTTGCTTGTGAAAAATGTTTCCGTAACCTACGATAATAATGACAAATAGTCACGTTGGTTTAACAATACAATATACCACGTTTTTGGTTTAATTTCCAACTCGATATAGGATTGATTTATTCGTTTTAATGATTAATTTATTCGCTTTAAGGATTGATTTATTTACCCATGTTCATGATTGTTTGCAGACTTACGCTTAATGACATAGTTCTTTAAAAAGGGGGATCGTTACCCAATCTATTAACTCTATGCTAAGACTTAATTAACATATCTGGGTAAATCCTAGATATTTTACGATGTAGGAAATTGAATATCGACAGCCTTTGCTTAAATGCATCGGTGTATTGTGGTATCCCATAGATATTATATTATATGTCGAACTATAACAATCAATAACAATCAATTCGGTCAGTTGACTCAGAAATTGCGATAAACACAAAAATAGCTGCAAATATTGAACCATGTGATCTGTACAACTTATTCATGGACAGAGGCAGAAAAATCCTTCATTAACCTTAATAATTTGGTGATGATTAAAAATTAAAAAAAAAGACAATATATATATATACATATATATATATCACATATCATATATATCACATATATCACATGTGAAAATGTTTGGAAATTGATCTTCGTTCAACACACATGCATGCGTTCACATTAAACGATAAGCATGTTGATGTATATCAATGCAGTAAATCCTTTACCAAAAGCAATATAAATGTATGCTATCTGCTTAGAAAACTCGGTAATAGATACAGTAGGTAAACAATGCATCGTACGATTTACTGGAGAATCACATCTTTTTGTGGGACTAAAATTTCGTGAATAAAAAATATTCCGCTGGCACTTTATTTGATTGAAAGTAAATGATATAAATGTGACTAGTACTGATAAGTAAAAAAAACCGAAGAAAATCAACCACGAAAAATAATGATTTTTCCGTCTGTTATTGCAATTATAGACATCACAGAAAATTATCACGTCTAATCCATGCCTAATATCTCACGTCTCATTTTTTTTTATAATTATTGCAGTTAGATGTTTCAATATATCGTATGATATACAAGCTTCCAGCGATATATAGAGTGCAGATTATATATGTATAAAGCGATATAAAATGCTATATTTAAATATACCATACACATTTTCTGGTTGTATGAAATACAACGAATGAGATAAATGAATACATATTCCCTGTACGTCATAAATATGTTATGAATATGATATTCAGGTATATAACCAGGTTTAAATCTTGTATACCACGCGTATTTTGGAAATTCCCTGGTTTAGGAGGAACCTGCCATCTTTGTTGATGTTGCTGTGTTTGCATATTGCGCATGAGCCAGTCCATAACATCTAAGTGAAAAATCGTTATTTCAGCGAAATAATTAAGCTTTAAAATTGGGTCAACTCTGTTTATGGATACTGTTCGTTAAGAACAATGGGGAGTATTGCATGTAAGTAATACTTCAGTATGTCACCGATATGGCAGTAATAATGGCGTTTTTAAAATTGCAAATTTTGTTAATGATAACCATAGTCACAGACACGAATGAAATATACTTCATTCTCCTTGTTACAGCATGCAGTAAAACTTCCTCTCCTTAAACTATAAACCAACTTTATTTTTTGGCAGAAAAACATGGTGTTGAATTAAGAACCACGCATTTAGAATGTTACAAATCTAGTGTAGAATCCGCTTAATAAAACAGCTGTGATTTGGTTTTATTGCAGAAATCGGAAAAACAAGTGAACGCGGAAAAAGACTTGTTTGAGGAAATTAGTGTAATACCGTACTTAGGCTTTCTGTAGTATTATCTACTTGTGAACAAACCACAAATCAAACTGACACATAATTGTTTATGTTACATAGGTATGTTTAGGCAATCTATCGCGCGACAAAAAACATGGTCGAATATGTGTACTTTCAAAAACACAACTTGTGAAAATTAATTGAGCAGCGCATTATGAAATGTTTCATACGTGCTGCTCCCACAGGAAAATCATAAAGACATTTGGCTACATTCGTTATAAAGGTGGCTTTCTATAACTGATAATTTTATTTTTTTGAATAAGCGAACAGATTCAGACAGTACGTACGATGCACAGTCGCTCTACAGTTTTAGTTCTGCGCCATTGAAATGATGTATACAACGTAAAGAAAAGGTGATGTATTTAAGTTATTAAGATAATAATTTTCAGATATTGGCTAACATGTTTCCATCTATTAATAGATTTCTGACTTCATATTGATACAATGTAGGTACAAAAACAAATAAAATGTAGGGTATACAATATATAAGTAATCGACTGACTTTGATTTTGAGAGCCCCATCTGGCTTGCCTCTTTTCTCTCCTATGAATACCTGAAATGACAAAACATAAGATGAATATATTGCAATCAGTATTGATACTTGACCTTAGTTGTCAATCCAAGTTAGTAATGTCACGTTATCAAATGGCAACTATATACATTGTATTAAAACGACTGCGCCAACAGACAAACTAACGGGAATTAATACACCCAGCTTCATATCGCACAAAGACTTATAATATATCTCAATGAGATTGCTATGACGACGTAAAACATAATTTGTTTCAACCTGCATCTTTTGAATCCAGTGTAACGAGTTTTTCGTCAGTTGATGACTTCTTCAAATTCTGTTTAGAGTTAAGCAGTGATTAGTGAAATTCCTACCACTGAAAATTACTTCCAAAGCCACAGTGACGCTAAAAATATCAATGTAGCATGTCTCAATACACCCATAATTGTGAAATTATAAAGAAATTTATATCTTTTTGAAAAAAGTTATATTTGAATAATTTTGCTAACCATTGGTAAACTCTGACCAAGCTAAGATCACATCCAGCCTAATCCTACAGTATATTAACTATTAATTTATGAAGCACAAAAAAATATGATATTTTATAATGAGTGGGTTTCTTATGTATTGAAGGCAACAATGAATGTTGACTTGTTTCTGCAAACCTTTGAATATAATTTGTTTTCGCTGACTTTTGGGCTCTTTTCATATTTAATGTTTAACCGTCATTTAGTACGTGTAAAATTATCCAAGTTCATATTCAAGTATTGTTTCACAAGCCCTGAAATTTTTCCACGATACTTGGTGTTCACGGACTGATGCACCACAAAAATGCATGATATTGCAGTATCTAAGAATTGTTACTACGCATAATGTATATCTTGACATTTAAGCAGTTAAGACAAGCTAGTTTCATGTTTTTGCTTTATGATAATTTCTGTCAGAGTTGTGACTAATGTTTTACAGTTCTGTCACGGAATACACCTAATTTGTCATCTTAAAAGAGGTTTAGATAGCACATGAGTTCTCCGTTTCATTGTTTATTATACCCACTTGATCACGTGTCTCTAGTGATGGATTTCGTTAGTAAACGGTAATGTGTTTAGCTCAGAAAATATAGAGGTATGGTGTAAAAATTGAATATTTCTATGGTTGATATAATGACACTGATAACTAGAAAATGCATTCAGGAGAAAGAAAACGAAAACTCGCATCCATTGCTTTTATCTGAGCACTAACAGTACCAAAACAATATGTTGGTAATATTGTTAGAGTTCTTATACCACAACAATTAGGCACATTACTAAGTGTTTTACCAAATGACTACAGAACAATGTTGCTATCTTGTTTATTGTTTCTGTGATATTACAACCATATCGTCACATTTTTTTCTACCTTTGCTTAAATAGGATTATAATACAGCCGAGAAGGTCGGTCGATTCCTTACCATCTCGTCACACTATTTCATACGCTGGGTACATACGATTATAGTACAGCTTGAAAGGTCTTTCGATTCCTTATCATCTCGTCACATTATTTTTTTTTCCATTTTTTTCATCTCGTCACGCTATTTTCCACCTTACCATTTCGTACAATGCATATGTTTCTGCGTGAACGCTTCACACTGGTCATTTGTCTGATGTAGGTGACAGTAAAGTCACGCTCAAATATTCTACCAGTTGTACAAAACTTATTTTCTACAAACTTAACTCCTTTACATACTGTTATGCATAGATGCCCATACATATAATATCGCATAATCGATTTCTATGACCGAAGTTATTTCCACATTATTCTTGTTTTTGGGATCAACAATGCTCTCCTTTCTACCTAACTCACTAAATCATAAAGTTGTCTCATTTCAAATAAATATTTAGAAATAACTGAAACTCCATTGTTTTGTAAGAATGAATTCAGCATTCATAAGTTTTTTTCGTTACCAATAATAAAAAGTATTGATGCCGTACTTTTAAAAGAGATGTATCTCTGTACAGACAGTAATAAAATGTATACATTTATAAGCACGATACAATTTTACAAACTTTCAAAACATAGTTTGAGAACGTGACGTTAATATCACAGATCAACCAATATTTGCATGTCATGTGAAGTCAGTATAGAAGAGAGAGAGTTCTTCACGAACTGCTGAAAAAAATTGACTTGTATTTCTTCAGGGGTTGTGTTTCAATGTTTCCTTCGTTTATGATATGCGTTCATTTCAGCAATCACTAGTTTGATGAAATATTTTCTTTAACCGTTGGTTTATTCTTTTTTATTTATGTGACATTCCCTGAATGTGGGAAAGTAAATTACTGGACTGACCTAAGTAGTATTTTCGCTACGAACTTATCAAGAGAAATTTTCATTCCCAGATACAAAGTTTTTACTGAAAGTAGTATGCTTCCTGCAGTTAGAGTTATTGCCAAAACATTAAGATAAAATAAACAGGTATAAACCAGAGCCGTTACACGCTTCGGTAAGTATGGATACCTCATACTAGTAACTGAGTTCAGTGATGCGGATAAACAATCTCTCATACGATTTTTCATTTTATAAAGAGATTTACCATCTTCCTATTTACATGGTAGAAATAAGTTATGACGATGACGAACATTACCTAACAGGAAATGTCTTCATGAATATGCAACAATATATCATTATTTAAAATAATGTTGTATGTCAACACTTTTACCTGGATACAAATGAGCCGTCATCAAAACCTGAATAATCATGCTTGTCTTCTTTTTTAATATCCACAATACACTAGATATACATTGTCTCTTTAACTACACACTCAACTCAAGATCAAAAAGACATCCCTACTTGGACATCAAAGTGAGTTATATTTATCATCCATGAAACTGTTTATTTCTGATAAAGACAACAAAACATAAATAAATAAATAAATGAGAGAAAAATGGAGCTGAGAGAAAATATTAAAAAAGTCAAGATCACTTTTGTCGCTTTTGATATCCTTAATACACTAGATATCAATTTTCTCTTAAGATAAACATAGACCTACAGATCAAAATCTATACTTCTCTGAAGATCAAAAGTCTAAAAGTGAATATTGTAGTAGAAATTACATAATATATTCATTAGAAGCTAAATAATTCGATTTTCTTTCTCTTAGTTTTCAATGGTACAAGGGGCCTGAACTTTGAAGCCTAGAAAGGCAACTGAGGTAAGTCAGAATTGAATGAAAGAAATGGCAACTTTTAGACGAGGAAAGTCATTAGCTCCAAATTTCAATAAATTTCGTAATTTTCATATACATGAAAATATTAGGATAAGTAGCAGTCTAGTTTGGAAAATTCAAATGAGAACTTCTTCTGGTAAAAGGGCGAATCTTATGTATTTTCATGTATACACATACTTGTCATTCTTTCTAAATCATTTTATATTGAATAAAATTTATTCAATTGTTGGGAAAGTGCACACCTCGTCAGGTTTCAAGATCCATTTCCAAAAATAATTTGAAATTTCCTCCGCCATAAGATATCAACATTATAGGTAATTAGCATCACTGATGTTTCCTAGAAGGACGAAATAGCTGTATGATACAGTATCACTGACGAGTCTTAGAAGGACGAAGCAGTGGTATGATGCAGTTTCATTCACTGACGAGTCCAAGAAGGACGAAATAGCTGTATGATACAGTATCACTGACCGGTCCTAGAAGGACTAAATATATGTATGATGCAATTTAATTCTTTGTTGACCCTGTGGTATCTAAATCTAAATTTGTAATAAAATGTGTTATTGACTCGTATACATTGTGTAAAAATCTTTATTTATTTGATGGCAATACGAAATCTCAGAATACATCAATGATAATTCAGTTTTTTTGTACAATATTTCCAATATGAGAGGAGATGCCGGGAACAACCCATCATATGGAGGCGGAAACTGCTGATGAGGGTTATACTCCGTGAGTTGCCGTAACCTGCATGTCACGTTTGAATTATTCCAACAGTGACACAGCTTGAAGTATACAGACTTACTTGTCTTTTGAAATATCAGATGCATGAAAATTACGAAGTTTATTGAAATATGATCCAAGGGAACCTCCCGATTTTGCATTTTGACATATGTTTCGATCACTTCCCTTTTTGCTGCGTCATGTCTCAGTTTTAAAACTTCTGTCATCTATCAGTATTGAATACCCTAAGAACGAAATGACAGCTCATGATGAAGTTTTCTTCCTTATCTGGCACTGTTATATGTAATAGTATATGTTTGTATTAATTCACTTTTCATTTGTGCGTATTTTGGTTCAATCATTATAAACGTTTACATACTTTTCTTGACATATTTTTGTGTATTAAACACGTGCATTATATAGCTTATAAAATGACGTCACACATTCACAGATAGAGTTTTGACGTCACAATGCAAACCATAATGGAAATGGCTTCAAGTTTGACCTATAAAATGCCCGTTGCTGTCATATTTGCAAAATGACACCATATTGCATCACATGACTAACATCTTTGAGCGAAAAGTAGAAATTGACATAGAATTATATTTTAATAAAAACTTTCTAGATAATGACTATTGGATGTATTATGTGCATAGATCAGTAAATAAATTATATATAGTTGAAAATTATTGACAAAACCTTAAGATCATGTCAACAAATAGTAGTGTAAGACAAAGACACACAAATACAATATGCTATTTCTGAGAGGAATGTCTAAGTGACTTTTCTCCATTAGTGAATCAGTTATTTTAATAAAAGTTTATTGAAATCGCATTTGGATCTCAGTAAATAACTATGAAGATTTTTCTCCGAAGGTCCAAATAATCGAGGTTTTACCAAAAATGTAACACAAATATTGCTTCCATCCCGGAAAATACCGAAACATGGAATCCTTTATAGTTACATCTGTTTACACAGTATACTGTTTTACAGAACGTCACAACTGTCAAGTTTTATCACCCCGTAATCGCAAGCTTGTCACTGAAGAGGTTATTTACCTTAAGATATTGCTATTTCGACAGCCCTCGTTTATCGTTTTCTTTACATCCTTCTAGTGGTA